TCATGTACATTGGTCTTCGTGAGCCGAAGTGATCCTGTTGCGTGAACCAGCTGTAGAGTAGGATAGTATGGTAGAGTAGGCTGGGCGCTGTGCGCCAGACAGAGAGAGCGACTTTGGATACTGTGTTGGTGTGGCCTACGGGCTTGGACATTGGCTCAATACTTCATTGTATTGCTCTTCATGGATGGTTTTCTCGGTGCATTTGTACTCTCTACTTGGGATACTACTACTTGCTCAGCTGTGTGATTTCGCAACTTGGTTTTATGTATATCGCTCACACTCATATTCCTTGCAATTTGGTATCGGAGCTGGTGATGATCGCCGCTTACCTGGCACCGGCGACATTGTGACTTGGTGCGCTGACGATGCTTCATGTGTAGTGAGGATACTTTGCGCTGGTTTAATAGCAGGGCCTAGGTAGAGAGGCCGGCCGCTGGAAGGCTGTGGCGATAACGGGTGTATGCATGATGATGAGAGTATGCTGAAGTGGCATTTTGGCTGAGGTGGCACCACATTGCGTTGCGGGTGGTACCGAGGCTATTGACCGGTCATCGAAATGCACATCAGCCCAATTGGTGAAAAATCTGTGGTTGGGGGCAGCTATCTCCAGGTATGTTGTTCCCATTCCTTATCTACCCTCTCAATCTCTTCTTACCGTGAGGAAGTGAGTCCAACTTGAGTGTCCTCTCTTTGGTGAGGAGTCGTGTGCGCTCTATCTTGAGAGACGACATTCTTCCCGGTGGCGCATCTGGCAGGAGAGGGCGGTACCTCTGAAGGGCCCTGGTCGAATCACGGGTCACGGTCACCATGCCAACCCATGGGTAGTAGTACACGCAGGCCATGCTGCTTTGTCCATTGAGGCTCTTTGCTGCGCTGATAGAAGGGGTGTGCGGACTGACCAGTCCTATTGAGACGCTCCCAGACCGTCTATAAACATTTCTGGTTGGGGTCTGAACTGTCCATTGGCTGTGATCGTCGTCCTGTTTGCGACGTTAAATAGTTCCTGAGGAGATGGCGGCTCTCCTTAAATCCCTCCTGATCAGCCAGATCATTCAGACGTAAGGCTCGTTGCACGCGAGGGTAAACAAAGGGGCAGGCTGGTCATAAGCATACTTCTTGGGCACAAGGGTGGGTCGTGGATGCACACCTTAGACACCGCAGCTTGATGATGCTCACAGGTACGTTGGATACAGGGGAAGGGGATTCCAATTGTGAACTCAACTGTACATCACTGACATATCCATTGTGCACACATCTGCTCACAATAGTCTAAGTTTTATTTTTGATTAGTTGGTTGGCCGACTGCTGACACCTAACAAACATTTTAGAGTAGGACTGTAATCTACCATAGTCAATTCTTCTCGAATCTTCTGTGCAGACTAATCTAAATAAGAGTTAGACAATGTGTACAGTTCGTGTAGATGCTGTTGATGTCGCTTGACTAGTAAGCTAGGTAACTCGCCGGACATTTATTTTGTTTATTTTTAGATCCGGCCAGACACATGTTGCGGTAGGTTCCAGCGAGGACATTAGTGCAGACAGCGTCTGCCTAACCTATGAGTGGATCAGAGGGTGGTGAGGGTGCAGATGACGATAAGAGGTTAACAAGGCGATCATCCCTTAGAATTCCTAGAGTGTTCCAGACCCTACAACCGGGAGAAGAGAGAAGATTAAGGGTCGAAGCTAGGGCCCGTAATCTTGAGGCTGCAAGCGAAGCAGCAGCCGCTAGAGCTGTAGGAATGGCTACTTCCGCAACATCTGCTGCGAACTCAACTGGTCAAGGGCAAGGCATGCCGACCAGTTCACAGTCAATCTTCAGTACGTCAGGAGTTGCCACTAGTCAAATGGCGGGCTCGCAGTTCAGCTCGCCGCCTCCACGCAGCTCCAGCAAGTAGAGAGGATCCGTTTAAGGTTAGAGGAGAAACTTAGATAGGCTACTAAAAGAGAGAGAGATCAAAGAAAGAAGTGTCAGATTAGAGGGCAGGGAGGCAGAATGGTTGCGCTAGAGGCATTAGAGGACTCCGCACTTAACACTACAGGAAATATCCTGAAGGCAAGTGTCCTATCCATAAATGCGTAAATAGATAGCAAAATGGACCCAATGCAGGATACTCTAGACCAGATTCTGCAAGCGCTGCATAAGCCAGGGATCCGGCCAGCAGCTTTACCATCGCTGCCACTCTCAGCGATGACAGGCCTCTATGCAGCTCAATCAGGACCACCACCAAGTGTATCATCAATAGTAGCTCTATCTCAAACTGTAGCTTCTTCATCTTCTGGTCCAGCGACTGTTGCTACACCACAGTCGCCACCTGTCTCACAACAGGGACAGCAATATCCTTGGTACCCCAAGAGCCCACTGAACCCACCTGCAACCTTCTCAGGAGACAAGAAGGATGAGGCTTTCGACACATGGTTGAGAACGGCGCCAGTGTGGGTGAGGGCGAAAAGGACATTGGTAGAAGAGGAAGTGATTACTGCTGCATCCTACTTAGAGGGTTCAGCAGCCCGCTGGCTAAATGGATTGGTAGCTTCAAAGGGCTTCGGCAGGAACATGCATGATTGGGCGCAGACCCACACATTAGAAAGCTTTATGGACTTAGTGGAGGCTCGTTGGCACAACCCTCAGCAGGCACAGATTGCCACTAATGGGCTCTTGAAACTTGATACTAGAAAGTACAAGTCTGTGCGAGAACTCACCACAGTCATAGAGCGCCCGATCGTCGTCCCGGGAGTGGAGTACAATCCACAGGTCTTGCTGACCATGTTCCTAAGATGTCTTCCCACAAACATTAGGAATCAATTAGCCAGCGAGGCTCGCAGAGAGTATCACACATTTGAGTCATTCAAAAAGAAGGCCCTAGACTTAGAGGCTACGATGGGTGGAGCTCAAACCCCTTCTACGGATGGGAGAAAGAAGAAGACTCCACAAGAGTGGAAGAAGAAGGGTAGTCGATTGATGATGGTTGATTTTGATGGGAATCAAGCCGAGATCGATGATGTTTCCAATCTTGTGGAGGGTTCAGAGTTTGACGGCGAGGAGAGTGCTGAGGGTAGCAACCTCGCCGCCGTAGTCAAGACTAAGGCAGCTGGCCGCGGCAAGGGCGGTCAACAAAGGAGTCAGGGGCAGGCCGCTAACCCAAACAAAATAGCTGCTTGGGTTAGGGCAGGTCTGGATCAAGAAGTGTGGTGGGACTGTTGGTCTCGTGGCGCTTGTATTAACTGCGGTGAGTATGGTCACACACAGTTCAAATGCAAGAACCCGAAGATCTCGCAGAAAATCCCTCCTAAGGGTGGGTTTCCTTCTTCTCAATCTGGGGCCTCTACGAGCTCCAACTCGGGAAACACTTCGGGCCAGTAGAAGTTATAGCTGCTTCTACTCTCGTTGAAGCAGGTGACGTACCCTCCCCGTTTCAAGAGATGGCCAAAGCTATTGACTCCTTAGTCACCCCGCAGACGCATCCGGACCCAACCATACTCTGTACGTTGGATGTGTTTGAGGCCTTAGAGGACCTTCAAGGTAAGTGGTCGGCAAGGGACCCTCGTGAGTCCTGGGTGGCACTGAGTAGAGGTCCTAGAGGGGAGCACTTCGTTGTGGAAGTTGATGTGGGTGGTCACAAGGGCGGCGCCTTCGTAGACATTGGCTCCACGCGAAACTTCATAAGTCGCGACTGCGTTGACAGACTTTGCCTAAAGGACCGGGTGCAGCGCCTTAGTAGACCGGTAGCATCTACTTTGGCCAACAAAGAGCGCATGACGGTGGAGGACTACGTTAAAAATGCAGTCTGCACCTTCTCCTACCCAGGAGGAGAGATAAACCACAAAATATCATTCCTGGTGAGTGACGAGTTGCCCTTTGATATGTTATTGGGCATGTACTACCTCGAGGTTGCCAAGCCCCAGTTTGACTGGGACAAGAAGGCTTTGAAGCATGAGTTGCCTAGTGGGAGAACCGTGAGACAGGCTTAGTACAAAGCCAGTAGGTTAGTAGACTCCTATGGGTGCTTATGCGCATCTGCCTTTCATAATTATTATAAACAGAACCAAGAGGAAGGAATGTACTTAGTCTATGTCTTCGCAAAAGGGGAGGCCGTTAAAACACCCCCAGAGATAGAGACCATCGTCGCTAAGTACCCAGATCTGTTCGAGGAGCCTACAGGAGTCGTAGACAGGGAGATTGTCCATGCCATAGAGATTATCCCAGGAAGTAAAACACCTAAGGGTAGAATCTATAGGATGGCTCCAGCCGAGTTGGACGAACTTCGGCGACAACTGAAAGAGCTCACAGAGAAGGGTTGGATCCGGCCTAGCACTTCCCCCTTTGGCTCACCAGTATTGTTTGTTCCAAAGAAAGGGGAAACACTAAGGATGTGCATTGATTATAGAGGCCTCAATGCCATCACCGTTAAGAACGCAGAGCCTCTACCACGCATCGACGACCTATTGGATAGGGTGCAGGGGTGTAAGTACTATACTAAGAGAGACTTAAAATTCGGTTACCATCAGATTGCCATAAGACCAGAGGACCAACACAAAACCGCATTTCAGACCAGGTACGGTCTGTACGAGTTTGTGGTGATGCCTTTTGGCCTTTGCAATGCGCCAACACGCCATGAATAGGATCTTCCATGACTACTTAGACAAGTTTGTTGTCGTGTACCTCGACGACATACTTATCTTTAGTAGATCTGTCGAGGAGCATGCTCAGCATGTAGACAAAGTACTTTCACTCCTTTGGCAGCACAAGTATAAGATAAACTCTGAGAAATGCGAGTTTGGTCGCACTCGAATCTTGTACTTGGGTCATGAGGTATCCGTGGATGGGATTAGGCCCGAAGATGCGAAGGTGGCTAGCATTCGTGATAGGCCACGACCCCAGTCTGTGACTGAGGTCAGATCATTCTTGGGAACGTGTGGTTACTACCGCAATTTCGTAAAGAATTATAGCACAATTACATCTCCCTTGACTGATCCAACTCGACTCGATACACCGTGGGACTGGACCGACGAGTGTGAGGCAGCTTTCAAGCGTTTGAAGCATGCTCTCACACATCATGAGGTTCTCATGGTACCTGACCCGCAAAGGCCATTCGTTGTAACCACTGACGCAAGCCAATATGGGATTGGCGCAGTGCTGGCTCAGCAGGAAGGGAAGAAGTTGAGACCGATCGAGTACATGAGCAAAAAGATGCCTTCAAAGAAGTTGGCAAAGTCCACCTACGAGAGGGAACTCTACGCTCTTTACAAGGCACTTGTCCACTGGAGGCATTACCTGCTAGGAAGGTTCTTCTACTTGAGAACTGACCATCAGACACTCAAGTGGATCAAGACTCAACCAGTTCTCTCCGATGCACTCAAACGCTGGATTGAAGTCATAGATCAATATGATTTCAAACTATACTATTTGAAGGGAGAATACAACAAGGTTGCAGATGCGTTGTCTAGGAGGGCAGATTACCTAGGTGCGCTGATTTCGGAGTTTGGTTTGTTTGAGGACGTGACTCGATCGTTGGATGAAGCCTACAAGGAAGATCCCATCATGATGGACATCATCAACAAACTACAGGCTAAAGATAAGGCCACCACTGATGAGTTTGTGATGGTGGATGGGTTGCTCTTTCTTGAGAAGGCAGGGTTCAAGAGGTTGGTTGTTCCATCTAGAGAAACTTTGCGTAGTTTATTTTTAGGTGAGTGCCACGACGCAATGGGACACTTCGGCTATAAGAAGACGAGTGCTAATTTAATACAGCGATTCTGGTGGCCCAACATGCTTGACGATGTGAAGTACGTGGAGACCTGTCATGTCTGTTAGCGGGACAAGCCGCGGACTCAAGCTCCGCTTGGGTTACTCAAGCCTTTACCCATTCCTGTTGGCCCAGGGCAGAGTATCTCCATGGACTTCATGGATACTCTTGTGACCAGCAAGAATGGCAAGAGGCACATCTTTGTCATAGTGGATAGGTTCACTAAGTACAGTAGACTAATCGCCATATGCCAGAGACTGCCAGGACTGAGCACGTCATCAAGTTGTTCATGGACAACTGGGTGCGTGATTTTGGATTGCCTAAGACTATTGTTAGCGATAGAGATGTCTGTTTCACTAGTGAGATGTGGAAGAAGGCCGCTGAACAGATGGGCAGCCGGCTTCAGATGACTTCTGGGAATCATCCCGAAGCAAATGGGCAGGCTGAACAGATGAACCAGGGTGGTGCAGCACCTGCTGAGGCATTACATCAAGCCCAGCCATGATGACTGGGATGAGAAGTTACCTCTCATCGCCAGTCTGTACAACAACGCGGTACACAGCACCATCGGTGTCAGTCCTAATCAACGACATCTGGGATGAAAGCCTAGATCTGCTCTAGACTTCCTCCTGCCTGAAAACCGAACTGCTGCAACTCCTGGAACCATCGAATTTGGTGTCCAGTATGAGAAACTGCTGCAGCAGACTGTCGAACACATTAAGAAATCTCAGGAGGTCATGATTGCTTCTGAGAACAAGCGTCGTCGACAGTCCACATTTCAGGTAGGGGAACGTGTCCGGGTCAAGGCTAGTGAACYGGGACAGGAGTTTGGCATCTCTAGGAAACTAATGCCTCAGTATTTCGGTCCTTGGGAAGTCCTGGATATCGTGGGGAATGATTTGGATGGTCCCTCGTACGTCATTCGTATCCCTGGTCACTTACGCACTTACCCTGTTTTCCACGCTTCCAAACTTGCACCTTTCACTGAGACAGCACAGTTCCCATCACGGAGAGCTATGCTGGCCACGTGGACGGCGACGACATCCTGGATCACAGAGACACGCCTGTTCCTAAGCCACCTGGCAGGGGAAGACCTCCCAAACCTGCGAGGGAATACAGAGTACATTTCAGGCATCATACAGATCAGAAGGAAAATCGATGGATTTCAAGGGAGGAACTTGTCAAGACAGCTCCTCAGATCGTGGCCGATTATGAGAAAAGACTGAAGGGGAAGGCACCAGCATGAAGCATCTCAGCGGACGTTCGAAGCTAAGGGGGATGGAATATGAGGAACAAGCCCTCAAGTGGCCCTTTCAGACATCACATTGTTCTGGGCCAAGGCCCCAGCAAGCCAAGTGCCCGCCCTAAGTGAAGGCGGGCCTGAATATTCGTCACAGGCCAAATTCGACATTTCCATAGGTGGGTATTCAGGCTCTTGCAGCGCGTCAGTTGGTTGAGTGAACGCGCGAGCCTCACTAAGCTGCGCCGTACAGTTGGCCCAGGCCACGAAAGTT